ACTACTAAACTTTTCTGCAGTTTCAAATTATTCCTATTTTGCACTGTGGAAAGCAAGACCTCATGGAGGGACTGAAGCTGCTGGATTTGAGTATGAAAAATCAGAAAGACTGAATCAACACAAAGTAGCTCTGAGACATCAGTCCATGAATTTAAGGAATATTTCAAAAGTGTGATGATCAACAGATCTCTGTCTGCTCCATAAAGGAGTAGCTCTGTAGAGGAGCCAGAGCCTCTCACTCATGGGCTAAAGTATCCCTAAATTACTTTAGGAAAAAATCCACTTTTTTTTGCAATTAACCCTGTTGTTTTCCATAGGTCTACTTTTGAATGGCAAGATAACCTTTCTCTGTAGAGAGTACAAGCTACATTGTATCTGCTATGCTGTCATTCCAAATTTCCTCCATCAGATTCCAGGGCAAATCAAGGTTTAACAAACTGAATAAAATATATAAACCCCACATAATGAAAAGCTGATACTTTTAATTAATCTTGACAGAAGAAAGAGTTTTCTTTTGGGGCACAGAAAGGAGCAAGCTTCATGTGAGCAAAGGTATGAGGAGAATGATTCTGAGATCTCCAGAGTGTAATAAAGCATAACCTAATCAGGGGTGACAACTTCACAGAACTTAACAGGTCTGACACCCCAGTGTTTCTTTGGTGCATGCATAGCTCTGATGCTGTCCCTGGTTAAAAACAGCCTCAGAACCCAGATGGACATTAATCACTGATATCGACAACCTCAGCCTGGCAAGGCAGTGGGAAATTTGTCCAACCCTCAAGCCCTTATTTTGCAGTTAAGACTTCTCTTTCATTTTGGTTTGCTCTGGAACCACAAACATAAACATCTCCATTTTTGTGGGTTGTTAACACACAGAACCCGAACTGAAGATCAGAGTCATCTCCTTCCTTTACTTGTCTGCACTGGGTTCCACCAGAACCTCACCTAAGAGTGATGACAGTGATAACAGTAAAATTTGCTTTTACCTAGCTATAGTAATGTCTTCAGATCAGAAAGAGCACTTTGGCAGTTTGTGACCCACATTCAGTTTTGACTCATGCTTGTATTTCCAACTAATAACCTAAAAAAGCCCCCAACCAACCACAAACTCTTCTGTTTCCACCCCATCCCTGCAGCACAAACATGTAGTACATTAAGTAAAATGACACTTTACTCTAAAGCTGCTGGTAAAGTGTTACAGCTTTATGATAAAGCACCTGGCTTATGCTTAGGTACAATACACACCACTGCAGACTTTAGTGCCTGTGCCAGTTGCTATTAGGGGAAATGAACAGTTGACCATATTACTGACTCCTGCATCTCCCAGGGGTAAAATTTATTTGAATAGCTATGTGTGAATTTGAATCCCCTTTCCAGTCTTGAATAATTAATCTTGGGAAGTCAGGATAAGAACACCCTAAGTATGTCACTTAACTGCAGGTGGTGAGCATGGGATATTCTGTTTTTAATACAGGTTTTGTCCAGGAAGCTTCATATCCAATGGACATTCTCATATTTATATAATTAGAAAAAAAATCACAGTGTCTATCTAGGATTGTTTGGACAAGAATTGTATGTTATTGTCTCAGTGCAGCAGGAATGTCAGCTATGAAGAGAGGAATTCTTCACATCCCACCCATGGGAACAAGAGGGAATCTCTGACACATCCCTGTGTCCAGTCCAGCAGTGAGACAGCTTTCAGTTATTGAACACAGCACAAACTAAAAGTGAACTGAAAAGTAGGGGGGAGCATGGGTGTGTTTTGCTTTGACTGTGCTGCAGTGCACAAAGGACACATTTTCCTCCTGATTTTTTTTCCCTCTTCGCTTCTGTTTCTTTTGTTTGTTTGTTTTTTAACATCAGGAATTTGGGTTTGTTTGTCCCTGGAAGACTCTGTGACTAAGCTGAACTAATAATAATACTGTAGTGAATGCTGAGAAATCAAATGGAAGGGGTCTAGTGGTAGATATGGTAGCATTAGGTAAATGGTTTCACTCAATCTTTAGGGCCTTCCAACCTAAATGATTGTATGACTTCTGCAACTGGGGTAGTGTCAGCAATCCTCACAAGGCACAGCACATTATGAGCCACCTCTACCTTTGCTAACATTGCACTGACAATTGGAATACTAAATTTCTTTCCCATATACCTGTGGGGTGCTGGCTTGGCCAGTTCTCAACTAACAGTGTTAGTATCCCTATGAAGGATCTATAAGCCATTTTTTTATTCAAGCATTCTGATGCTGGCCAAGAGAGTTGAGCTCTTTGTGTAGCTGTATAAGGATCTACTTCCATCTTTAAAATTCTCATAGTTAGGTGTACTTGATTTTTCCCTCTCTGCTGCTTGCCCTGTGCTAGAAGTGCTGGATCACATTTCAGGACACCACAGAGACAACTATAGCCAGAGTATTTCTTTTGGATGGAGGCTGCCACCACAGTGCTCAAACCTTTTGTGAGACACATCACTCACATGTGCGGTTAGATACCATCTCCCATTTTCTCTGTATTTATCCAGCTCCAGAAAAAACATGGCCCCAGGCACAAAGTCCAGCTACAGGTCCTTATTAGAGAAATAAAAGCTGGGACTGTTGGCACCTGCAGTGCCCCTGCTAACACCTGCAGCGATGAGCACAGGGCTGTGCCAATGGGTCCAGCACAAGGGAAAGGCCGAAAGGAGCTCACACCCCATAACAGCTGCCCCCAGCCCAGACAGGTCACAGCTGTGCATCATGCATCCAGCCACACTCTCTCCTTGCTGGCTCTCTGTGGAGGTGCTGGTGAGTATGTCTGCTCCCTAGAACCCAGGCTGTTCCCAGGAGAAGGAGATGTGGAAGATATGTGTGATCTGATGAGCAGCAGCCACCACCTCCAGTTTTCCAGCGGGAAGAAAGCCTAGATAGGTGACTTTGTAGAGGAAACTCTTCCAGCATTTCCTTCTTGCAGCTGTGGGCTGCTGAGTGTCATCAGATGAGTGACCATGGGCTTCTCCTGCAGGTCAGAGCATTGCTCCTGCTGGGAGAGTTTTTAAATATTAGCTGGGTAAAGGGTGTATGCCAGAGCAACAGAGGCAAGGAGTTCACACACAGAACAGATTCCTTGGGTAGACCCTGGGGCAGCCAATAGAGGCAAGTCTGGAGTAAGTACCAGAGTCTGTAGCACCAAGCAGGGCAACAGAGCATCAGCACTGAAGTAGGGACATGGATCTGTCTCATATGTGGGTTTTGGAACCAGGCTCAGTGCCTGTGTCATGGAGATATCTTCTGGCATCTTTCTGTTCCTCCTTTAGGGACTTTGTGATTGCTTCACCCCTTGAATTATGCACCAAATATTCAGGGCAGTGGCCTTTGCAATATTTCCTGGCAAGGACATGGAAGATGAGAGCAGCAACATACAAATGTAGATTCAGAACTTCTTAGTTCTATGTTTCAGGCCCCTGGTTTCCCTGGTGTTGCTGTTGTAAAACCCCTTTCCAGCTGAAGTTTGTTTCTCCTTGAAGCCATACGAAAATAGAGTCATTTTTCCGTTTGATACACTGTACACCAAAAGAGAATAGACAAATAGGTGATGCAACTTCAAGTAAAAGAAACACAAGCAAACCAAGAGGGCTAATCAAGTTATGTAGCTTTAGAAGTGATTATTAGACATAATTTATTTTCTGGTTCTGTAGCTGTGTTTTTTGTAGGTCACAGCAGTACCTGTAAGGATAAATTTGTCCAGGGAATCCTGGAAAGCAGCTCACAGGCAGGATGGCAGGCATAGGAATCCATGGGTGAACAGTGGCTAAGCTGGCTCAGCAATTTAATGAGCTAAGGTTGATTAATACTTCTTTCTAATGCCACCTGAATGAAACATATAGGACTTTGCCATTTAATTTGATATCCATTCATTTGCCATTAGTTTAGCAGCAAATTTAAGCTTTTCCATGCCCAAGTACTGCCTTTATATTATGTTATTTGTCTGCCTATTACTTTTATCTACTTTTAAGTATAATGCCTCCTATATTTTATATATTTATATATATAATTATATTTTCTTAAAGAGTGTTTTGAGGAAACTCACAGATTACTGGAATTTTTAATTATATTGGAAAGAAATTCTTTACTGTGAGTGTAGTGAGGCACTGGAACAGGTTGCCCAGAGAAGTTGTGGGTGCCCTATTCCCAGAAGAGTTCAAGGCCAGGTTGGATGGAGCTCTGAGTGGTCTGGTCTAGTGGAAGCTGTTCCTGTCCGTGGCAGAGGGGCTGGAAAGAGGTGATCTTTAGGATCCCTTCCAGCCATTCTGTGGTTCTGTGATTTCATAATGCTTGTATTTAACCTATGTTTGAGCTTTCTATGAGCTTATTTCAGCTTTAACCATGATACTCTTCAGAATTCAGAATGCACAAATTCAGTAGTTCTTTCTGAATCTACTTGTTAGTCTCATCTACCTGGAATGAGCTGATTTGGGATCTTGATTGCTCTGTACATCTACTTTACCCTGGCTTTTCCTTTGTTAATTTAATGCCTTAAGTAATTTAAGACTCTGAATACCAATGAAATCTCATTAATAGATTTTGTTTTTCTTTCTTATACGTTCTTTTGACCTTAGATCTGGTAACTGTGGGTCACTACCTATAATGAATAAATTGAAAGTCCAGAGTGCTGGCTGGAAGATTCAACTAAAAAGCTAGGGCTAGAGTGATGAAGTAAATGACACACTTCTCAGTGTCATCTTGTTTTTCAGTGCTTGAAGTTTCCAATAGGTGTACCAAATTATTTCTTTCAGGTACAGCATTATGCAGCTGAATAAATATCTTATGGGACTACTAATTTAATAAAAAAAAAAAAATTATTAGCAGCACCCAAAAAGAAGTTATTCAATGGATGGGCGTCTGTTCTGCATGGTCCCTGAATTAAAATTATCTTTATCTATTGAAACCCAAAATATGTCACTCTGCCATACCACTTTAAATTCAACTTAATGGTTTCTGTCTTTATTTAGTTTGCAGCCATATTACCTCATCCCAAACTGGCAAGGCTGGGCCACCTGGGATCTCGTGGGTGCTGTGGGAAATGTTGGAGATTCAGCATAGCAGTTGGCATGCTTCCCTCTGAGTCTCCATGGATAAATCCTTCACCACTGCACCTGGGCACCATCTGTTGAAGGAGGTGGCATCTGTCAGATGGGGTATAAAACCAGCCCTTGGAAATTCCAGGGTGTTTTCTCACGTTTCTTAGGTTGTTACAAGGACAGTGTTCTACTTAAGTAATATTTTTATGAATATTTCACTTAAACAGCCAAAATATAGACCAGCATGCATATCAATAACTTCAGTACCTTCTGTGTTCAGGAGATTCATAAATTAGTAACAGTCCCCTGGGTGCATTATCTTGTAACACATTTGAGGGTTTAGCATTATTCCAGTAAGTATTGTTTAAATTGGGAGGATAAAGAAGCAAAAAAATCTTTCTTTTCCGCATAACAAAAAGTGACTGAGCTAGGTCTAACTAATATGCTAGTAACCCCCAGCCAAAATTCCTTCTGTTTAACCAAGACAATATCCAGGGACTCAGATTTTAAAATGTGACTCCTAACTGGGCTGCTGTGAACAAATGACATTAACAGGCCAAGGGGCTTTTCTTGGCTGTATTTAGTAGTGAGTGTATGTTAAAAATGTGAACAGCCACATATCCCCAGTGACTGTCACATCTCGCTCTCCAGTTTAGCTTCTGCAAATGATGGGAGTTCTATGAAGCACTTTTTTGATTGTTTTGCTAGCAAAGATTTTGGTTTCTTGATGTGTTCTGTCAAGGAGAGAAGGACATTACTGGTTTACCTTCAGGCCCATGGACCTGCTGCTGCACTCCTGTGTCTTCCTTTCTCCATGGGCTAGCTGGTGTGGGGCACAGAGGATGCAGGGAAGAGGGAGGCAGGGGGTCACTGGCAGTGCAGAGGAGAGCTACCCAGATCTTTCCCCTCTCTGGGAAGTGCTGCTGTCAGGAGCTGAGGAAACAAGAAGGGCAGAAGTGAGCTAGGGGAATGGCTGAAGTTTGTTTGGCCTCCCTGGCTCTGCTCCTTCTCCACTGGTGGCTCCAAACAAGAGCTTGGAAAAGCTTTGATGTGATAGGCACAGAACCACAGAGTGGGCAGCTACAGGGGCAGCCTGTCTGGAAGGGAGGAGTATTCTCTGCATAAGCCAACAGAGAAAAGAAGAAAGGTTCTGTCTCCTCCATAGTGTGCATGTTTTTCAGTAGGTTTCTGGAGTCCACACATCCAAGAAGTGGCATATTTTAGCTAAAGAGCTACAATAGAGGCATGAAGATAGGCAAGTGATATAAAATCAAATTTAACACGTGGCAAAGGTGTTTCTGGTTTTAATTAAAATTTTTTAAAGGATTGTCAGTTCTGCTGCACAAATACAATGAGCTGAGAGATTTAAAATAACTAAATGGGCAAAATCTGTGTGATCATGTATTTGAGGCAGATTCATCTCACTTTCTCCTGCTTATCTGAGCCTGATGACTCTGGTGGAAATAATCTCTGGACATCAATCCAAAGTTTCTCCTAATATCTCTGTGACATTGATAGGTTCTTGCACGGCTTCCAAATTGTAGTCTGATAGTAATATTGTGAATAATACACCTTTAACCCTACCTCTGCAGAAGGGGGTTGCATTATTCATTATTACTTGTCTCTATCCAGTCCGAGTTCACGGTGATAAATCTAGCTTATAAGGCACTTACAAAGATGGGTGTGGTGTGCTGATAGCATTCATGATTAAGTGCTTTCCTGTGTCAAATATAGCCTGTAATATACTACAAACAGGCAGTCGATTTTTTATACAAACTGATCTGGCTGCTATCAGACTCTGACATTTTATACTAATACTTAAAATAAATCTAGAAACAGGAAAGAAAGTACAGAATTATTGTTTTAAGCTAACTGTGAGGGCTTATCTTCAAAGTGACAGAGTTTCTATTGTATTTAAAGAAACTGGTCAGTATACTGGCATAAAGGTTAGAAGTACTCATGAAGCTGGAGTTAAGTTCCAGCCTTAGTTTTCACTTTTGATATAGACCCTCTAAGATGCTTTTTTTGTTCTAACATGAGGATTTAAAAATACTTTTGCTTTATTTTTTTCCAAGCTTGCCAACTTTGCGTTAAAATCTACTCCTATTGAAATCACTGGGAGCTTTGCCATGCATTGTAAAAGGTCTGGGATGTGGCAGCATGTACTAAAATCTTTGTGATTTGTTGGACTACTTGGACAAGAGCTAGGGATATGTGAGCTACCATCATCAGTCTTTTCTTTCCACATCTTATCTCAGGTAACTTTTGCATGCCTTTCGAGATCCATGGTTTAATATTTTAAAAAATGCCAAAAGTTGGGTCCCCTTGAAAATGAAGGAGACAATTTTCTATCTGAAAGTGTTTACCTTAATGTATTTTAAAGAGTTGGTACTTCACTCTATGTATGGGCTAGTTAGACACATGACCCAAAATCAAGCTGAAAACAAAACTGATTGAGTATAAAATATTTTCATGAAAGTTGTAAAATGTTCATCTGCTAAACAGAGGGCACATTTCACAATCATGTGTGAAATTTGGACCATCTTGAGGCTACAGTCCCTGCCAGGCTCTTTCCAAGAGCCTGAGACTGAACTTGTCAGTGCAGCACACACCCATGGTCACACTAGGCTTGGCTCCAGATGTGGAGCTAAGGGAAAGGTGGATCACACACTGATGTGATTGAGCTTCCTTTCCCACAGATCAGGGTGGACAGATCAGGTGTGATATTACAGACCCTGGGAGATTTCTTGAGTCCGGCTCATCATAAGCACAACATCGGGGTTTGGAGTTTGAGCTCCACCTGGGCAAAAAGGGAATGGCATGGAATTCTGAATGAGAACCAGGAGAATGGAGTTTCCCATCATAAGCCTGTTCTCAGGCCTGATGATAACTTCATAGCACAGATGTTCCTTTTGTCCTTTTGCCTAGAAGTGAAAATTACTAAGTGCAACATGTCAGTGTCAAATTCTGAACATAAGGAAATGTGACACTAACACAAAACAAACCACAAAATTAGGAACCTATTTGAAATGTGAAAATTTGGGGTCTTGAAAGAATGGAATGTCACACTTCTCGTGAAACATGCAGGCTCCTAAAAAGTCTATTGAATTTGTGCATTATGACTTTTTCTTATTACTGTTACCATATGTTGCAACTCTTCTTATAGGCCCTAAACCCATGAAAAGTCAGCAGGGAGCAAGTCAAACACAAGAGAGGTCACATTATTAGAATTGCTTGCATTTGCATTTGCTGACTGGTTTACATGTCCTTGCTTACAACAAGAAAATCCAATCTCCAACACTATTTTTGGCAGCTTGATTAGTGTTTTGGTTGGGTGTTATCAAAAGAAAAGTATTTCTCTCTCCAATTGACTAGTCTGAAAATCAAAATCAATTTTCTTTTTAATTAGTATAAAACTTTTTGAGTCAATAGACATACGTGGGATTGTATGTGTGGGGTGAGTGGATGATGAAGGAATAAAGCTTTTCTAAGGCATAGGTGAGAACTTTTTTTTGATTAGAAATTAAAACATACGTTCCACCTTTTTAATTACCCAACACATAAAATGCTGTTACTACAGCCTTTGACTTTCTAAAGTCATCTGAATAATTAAAATATTTTTTTACCTAATAGAAAATAGGTTAGAACTGGGATTTGTGTGTCACTGGTCATTTTACTAGAGCAAAACTTCTTTCCTCAAAGGTAAAAAATTATCTCCCAAGAAATTATATTAAACAATATTAAAATGATGGCAAAAATCACATTCCTGTTCCTGGAGTGTGGAAGTTTGGTGAGTCGTTTTAACAGGCTCTCTTTAACACCCTGTGATGGCAAGGGGTGAGGCAAAATTGAAGGAAAAAATGCCTGACTGACAGCACCCCACCCAGATAAGGCCCCTGCTTAGAGAAACTCGGGAATGTCTCAATGCAAATGCTGTGCCAGGAACACACGCTCCGCTGCATCCAGGAGTGATTTTCAATCATCCAGCTCTTAAAGAGGTCAGCAGTAGCAACAGCCTGCAGGCTTGTTCTCTCCTCTTAACACAGGAAAGACTCTTGCCCCTCCTCAATCTGATTTAGCTCCTTTTTCTTGCAACCTCTACCTTATTTATAGAATCACAGAATAATTTAGATTGGAAAGGACCCCTGAAGGTCATCCAGTCCCACCCTTTGCTCCTGACAAGGCTGATTTAAAAGCCAGATGAGGTTATTCATGGCCTTGCCTCATCAGGTTTTGAAAGCATCTGAGGGTGGAGATTCCCCCCACCTCTCTAGCTGGATTTAACTCTTACCACAATTTTTTTTTCTCCTTATCCATGCTGAAAATTTCCCTGGATGCAAGTTGTGGGCATTGCCTATTGCAATTGAGACAAGTCTGACTCCCTCTTGTCCTTTAAGCAGCTGAAGATCAGAGTCATATTCCTCCCCATCCCCAGCCTTTCCTTCTCCAGACTCCTCAGCCCTCCTCACACATCATGCCTCACAGCCTTGGTGCTCTTCCACTGGACTTGGTCTGACACGTTAATGCCTTTTACTGGGAAGCCCAAGAGTGGACACAGCAGAACACTCCAAACGTGGCCTCACGGGAAGGGAAGAGCTGTTGGCAGCTCTCTGCTGAGGCAGCCTGGCATGTTTTAGCTTTCCTTGCTTCAAGAAGACTCCAAAGGTGGCCTCACAGGACTGGAAGAGCTGTTGGCAGCTCTCTGCTGAGCCTGGCATGTTTTAGCTTTCCTTGCCTCAAGGGCGCACTGCTGACTCAGCTTCAGCAAGTTCTCCACCTCAGGTCCTGCTCTGCAGAGCTGCTTGCACTCCCAGGCAAGCTCCAATTTGCATTGCTGCAGGGGCTTCTTCTGTCCAGTGTCAAGGACCTTGCATCTGTTCTGATGAACTTTATGAAGTTTCTGCCAGCCAGAAAGGATATATGGTGTATATCGGCAAATCCATCATCCTTTCTTTCGCGAGAAGATCTTTCCTGTCTGTCCATCTTTGAGTTTAAACCTTCTGACTTTTGTCAGAAGCCCATGGACAAGTAACTTTCCTGCACCGCTTAAATTTGGCTCTGCACCACATAATCTCTGTGCTTTATAACACTTTTTACTGCCTCTATATAGGCTCAGACAGGATTTATCCGGTCCCTCACAGATGAGGGTAGGTCTCCTCTCTCACATGAGCACACTACCCTGTGTTAAGCTAAAAAGCAGCAGAGAGGACTGCAAGTGACTGTATTACTGGCCAAAATGAAGAAAAAAACAATGAACTGAAACGACACAAACCTGATTTTCAAGCATCTGGAGAAAGTATTCAATAGCTAGGGAAAATTTACAAAGGAAATACGAAAAAAAAGAAAAAAAAAACCTAACCAAAACCTCAGGAATATCATATAAGAATTGGCATATAAGAAATTTAGCATATGAGACATTGCCACCAGAAGGTATCAGTTAGTTCACCCTGACCTTTCTTCTATGGAAATGTCAGTGCCCTGACCTTTCTTCTATGGAAATGTCAGTGTCCCATCCCTGGAAGTGTTCAAGGACAAGTTGGATGGGGCTTTGAATAAGTTGGTCTAGGGAAGGCTATCCCTGCCCACAGCAGGAGGGATTTGAACTAGGAAATATTGAAGGTGCCTTTCAATCCAAACCATTCTGTGTTGTTATGAAATGTATCATAAGCAGGACCCCATTTCAGCTCTTGAAAGTGAGAAAGAGTGTAATAACAGGGTTTTTTTCCTAATGGACAACAAGAGAAATTTCTGGACACACGTGCATGAGAAATTAAGAAACATTCATTATCTGAGAGTATGTTCTTTTTATCACAGGTGGCAGAAAAAGAACCTCAGAGGACTGAATTTTATATTGAATTCCATGTCTCCTATTCTGGTGATAGTATTCAGGAGAATTCTAAAGGAGTCTATTGAGAAGGCAGGACTTTGAGGAAAACCAGGACATTTGCACACCTGATGGAAATTCTGCCAGGCTTGTCCCTGGCCAATAGATAATAATTAGCCACAGAATGTGTATCAAACAGCTGAATATATAGTCCACAATCTTTTAAAGTCCTAAACGTTTAAGCAAATAATTTCCTTAAAATTTTAAAATTTGCTTTATTTATGAAAATAAATTTTATAATTTGTGTTAAACTCTTAGATTTTCTCTTGAAATTCCAAGGTGGTCTCTTGCTGCCTCTTCACATGTGATTATGTATATTTTCTATGTCGTATTCTCAAAAAATATTTGAGGTTTTTTTAAGATTTAAAAAAAGCAAGATTGTCATCTCTTGTGTCAGCAATACATGATCATTATCCTAATTAGAAAAGGACTGATAATCACACTAATATCTGTGAGAGCTCTTCTGTAGAATTCACCTGGGGCAGATTCAGTGTCTAAATTATAATTAAATTTTTGTATGGTCAAATAAGAGAGGAGAGCAAAGATGCAATAGTTCCCTCCATCATAATTATTTGAATGACTATGTGTTTGTCCTGCAGAATAGAGATGCCTTGGAGCAGGAGATCAGCATGGGAAGGGCACGAAATCCAGATGTCCTCAAGGTATCCTTGTGAGGAGGAAACTGGAGAAAGCCTCAGTGCCTGACTCATGGCAGATCAACATGGAATTGACTTTGGAGTGAAATTGAAAATGTTGGTTCTGACAGCAGCAAAGATGGCCAAAGGCATTGACAAGGCTCAGGGGTCAGACTCAGAGGTGACAGACTGATCTAATTTCTGGGATTTGACAAAAACAACACATCTTGTTTAAAAAAGAAAACAAAACAAAAACTTATGTGAGGAAAAAAAGATGGCTTGGAGTGTCTGAAAGGCCTTTGCCAGACATTCTCACTCAGCAGTGCAGTTCTCACTGTTCTGGATCACTTCTTTAGAGTTTATCTTGAGTAAAGCTCTTTGTAATTAAGTCAATACTGATTTAATCATGACAATCATAGCTGGTAGATATCCAAGGAAATAATAACAAAAATTAAGCAGTGTGCAGATTGCATCTATGACAAGAGATTGAAGAATAAAAGAATATTGCAGGGGCCAGCCATACTGCAGTTTTCCTTTTGAAACTGTTGTTGAAAACAAAACCAAATAACCAGAAAGTTAGGGCTACTTCTTCTTCAAGATTACACATGATTTGTGTAATATACTTGGACTAGTTTGTTAACACAATCCCATGAAGTGGTGAGGGTTTGACAGCCACGTTAATACATCGAAACTTGGCTGAGAGGTTGTGGGAGACGAACTCATTGTGTTTTAGGTCATTTGTGCTCATTAGCAAGTGCAAAGTCATCAAAGTCATGTTTGCCTTCTGCTAAGTGGAGCTACAGCTCTCTCACCTGGACTCAGCATCATTCAGATATGCAGCAAGGTTGTCCCATCTAACACCTCATCTTTTAAAGAAAATGAGTTGGGATCATGAGGCATTAGGCACAGCTCCCCTGTTTCCTCAGGTTTTCTAATTTCCCGGTGAGCTGTCTGCCCAACAGCAGCAGTGGATTGGAGGAGTCTTGGGCGCAGGTGGTGGAGCCACTGCCTGCAGTGCCAGTACAATACTTCATCAGGCTTAGGTCTCCATCCTTAGACTGGAGCTTGCTTAGATAAGGTAGCCAGTGCTAGCAGAGGAAAGCCCTTTAGCGTGATTCATGTGTTACCTGAAACAATGTCACAGCACAGTTTCAGATTAGAAAATGTAATTACCCTGATCAGTTGTTTACAAAGAAATTGTTTGAAGCTTTCCAAAGACATTGTTTGCCATCAGGGCAGTATCACTTCCATTGTGTGTTTTGTGTACTAGCCTGATAGATAATGATGGGAGCTCCCAGAAAATGACTCTCCCTCAGACCATCAAAGTTTTTGCAGTATTTGTAACCCAGCTACAGAATCTCATGCAAGATGCAGCAGTCTTTAAATCCATGTCTATTGAGCTCATTATGTTTTAATTTGAAAATTGGACACTCGGTTTTCAAAGACTTATGGCCTTATCCTGAACACAGTAAAATCAATGGAAGTTTTGTCTTTGTCTCCATTTGGAACAGGATAGAGTTCCTGTGATGTAATGTTTGATCTCCAAGTATGGGATTCAAGAAATAACTAGATCTGAGTAGTTATTGAGATCACTTGCAGCTAATCAGATAAAAACTCTACAATTTTGAGGGAAAGAATGAGACTGCCAGAAATTCAGGTCCACTGAATGCCACAGGAAGACATTGTGGAGAGCATTTCTGTGCTGACAAAATTTCAATCACAGTCAGAACCATTCTAAGCTGGCTCAAGCTGGAAAACCCATGGCTGACTTGCAGAGCTGAGCAGCTCTGATGCACTGCCATTTAATTTTAAATTGCAGTTCAAAACTGGTGCTGAGCTTTAATGTTACTTCACCCTGGGGTCAATATAAGAGTCAAATCTCTCACCAGTTATAACCTGGAAATAAAATTGGTTTGGAAACATTTGGATAGTGGGGATTGCTATGTTTGAACACAGACAGGTTCAAACTTTTTTCTTTTTTTCCTTCTTTATATTAATGTAAGGCTGCTGGGCATGGGGATAGAGGGAGTTGATAGTAACTCTGCTACACTGATTTTCTAGAATGGGAAAGTCTTCTAAATGGGAAGAGCTTTGTAAACTAATTAACCAAGAGCAGTAGAAAACAAAGATGAAAAAACAATCTTAATTGTGCTACAAAGATGAAAAAACAATCTTAATTGTGCTTTAACATGGCTTATTTCACAGCTATGTGGCAACATTCTGCACTGACTTACAGTGCTTTACATATGTGCCTTTTGAACTTCAGCCTATCCTTGTTAGACCAGACTCTGGCTGCCCTTAGTCTCTGAAGATGCTTGAAGACAGCAAGATTTTGCTGTTAGCACATACAAGATTTTGTGATATTTAATTCACTAGTTTTCAGCTATTATAGAGGAGTGCCAGATGTGTGTAAAATGTACAGGTTTTGATTGAAAGGATAATTTTATTGTGAAAGGTATACTGAAGGCAGCATGCACTACTTAGAGACCCAGCTGAGCTGAGTAAGCTCAGACTGCCAGCAAGCTGGTTTGCTATCCAGTGACAGACCTGGACTGCACTGTTTGTTCTTTCTATGGTGCTGGTGGCTAATTTCATGCCCTGCATCAGTATGATGTGACACAAAGATGGAGCAGAGATTCATATTTGTAAAATCTGGGATTCAAACCTGAAAACAGCTAGTCTAAGGAGACAAGTCCATCAAAATCTGTCTGTATGACATTTGTTAACTATTACTTTTCAAGTGTAAGTGAGAGAGATTTATGGTAATCTTTCACCTTTGCCAGCAAAAGAAGTAGTTTCAGTTATCTTTGAAACTCAGCAGACTCCCTGTTCCAGTGCAGAGGTCTAAAGAGCTGCCAGAGCCACAAAGACATCCCCCTGACAACTGTAAGCAGTGGTTTCAAAGATCTCCTCCCCTTTCACACCCCCTTTACTCCCCCCCCCCTTCACTTTGCCTTCTTCCTCCTCCTCCTCCTCCTCCAGCCTGCTCCAATGGGTTTCTTGATGCAGCCTATGCCAGAAATAAAATGCAGATCCTTATTTTAATCACCCTTAATGGCTGGGAGAGCTACCCATACCCCACCACTACCACTTGTGTCAGAGATGTGCCCCATGAACACAGCTCCTGTTGGAATTAATGACAATCAAATGTTGGCTGCAATTCATGACACTGGTTTTACAAAGCCAGAGCAAGGTCTCACCTTCTCCGCAGCTGGGGTGTGCAGATCTCTCAGCCGGCACTCCTGCACCATGATGCCACTCTGATGTTGATTCTGTCATGAGCCTTCCACTCATTTTTGGTAATCAGATCACAGCATTTTCACATGCTTCAGTAGGGATGCATTTCTTGACTCCCTGTGCTCGTGACAGCATTGCATAAAGCCACTTCCTACACACAGCATAATGAACCGGAATTTCTCCTCCTACAGAAGGCCATATCCTCCCTCCAGCTGCACACATTGAGTCAGAGCTTGTAAATGCATGCTAACCCATGACCATACACAGTGCTATTACTCCTGGTCTCTGTTGGAAATAGCCATCCAGATGGAACCATTTGTGAAATCCAGATTCCATTTTTCACGTGTGCAGTAGCTTTCCAGTATCCGAAAAGAAGATTTCTCTGGAAGGGGGCAGGATAAAATTCTTGAACCCATTTGATCTGAGCCATTTCTCCCATTCCCAGAACAGCATAGAGACAGCCAATAGACCACATACAGGTATGAGAGATGCAGGAGTATCCAAGTGGTTGCAGCACTGGAAGACACTGAAAATGTGAAGGGGTCTGAAAAACTGGTATTTAATGCACTGATCTTTGGAGCCTTCACAATGAGCATTGTTAGATATAGGATCTGCTAAACAATGAGTCCTTGATAGGACATAATACCTATTCAGAAGCTCAGCTTTGCACACTTGCTCTTAAAACATCCTTAGCTCAACTTAAATTTACCTTTGTTACACACAATGCACATGTGACAGACGGTTGCATTCATTCATCTACTTTATTTAGATCTTTGACAGGCTTACCTACTCTCTGCTGTAAAGCTGGGATTCTTATGGGTTCCTGAATCAATATTATTGCTAATTAGTACCTCTTGAAATTGTCACTGTCAGATGCTTCAGGTGACACTGAAATAACTTTGAGGTAAAGTTAGAAACCTGGAGATCTGTGGGCAAAACTTGATTCTGTCTAATTGCCTTTTGTGCTTACCTTATATTCCCTGCTTGGACAGTTTCTCCTTTTGAATAAGAAATGCAATTTCCAGCACATACCGTACTTCATCTACCAGCCAGTAAAGACCCAAAGGTACTACTTGTTGTTAGCAATCACTTGAGCACCTCCTATTACCTCAGGCTGGCAGCCAAGCTGGCAGGTCTGGGAAAGGTATGACTATCCAGGATGCAGTATCCTGACTGTACATAACGTACTCTGCCAGGCAAGCAGAGGCTTTTCATAGTGAGAGGCATTCCTCTAGTATGACAGTAAATGACAGGGACAAAAAATGACAAAGGTTTTCCCCAGAAATACTGTGTTCTGCTTTAGTCTCTTAACCGGGGACTGACTCGTAAGCAGCTGCTTTTATAAGCTTGCCTGCTCTTTCAAATTTTGCCAGTGGCTCCTACAAACACCTGAACAAAAGTGACCATTTGAAAATATGCAAAGGTTTAAAACATCATGAATGGGAAAAAGGAAATTTCAGAGCCTTCAAAACCTATAAAAATACGTTTATGCATTTGTTCAGCTGATTTCAGAAGAGTTGTTAACTATTTCCAAGATGTAAAGAAAAAATTGAAAATAGTGGTGATGTTTGTATAAAATGTGTGCTTAAATTATAGCTGTTTATGGCAATTTCTGAAGAATCTCAACTGGAAAAAATATTTTTCTGGAGGAAGTGCTGACATGCTGCAGTTACAAAGAGCAAATCCATAGTGTGGCCAGACAGTCTCTTGTAGTAGTTAAAGTTTTAATTAGAGGTAAACACTACTTAGCTCATCTGATACAAACCCTTCCCAGGAGCTAAGCAGTTCACGATTCAGATTTCTGTCTGCCACTGTAAAGTGCAGTGTTAATGGGGGAAAGAAGGAGGAGAAGAAAGGAAGGACTGCTAAACATACAAGGTCACCCTTGTCCTTTGGACAAGCCTGTTCTTGCTCCCCTAAGAAGACAGTTTGCATACTAGTTGAAGCAGGAGTGCCAAGCTAACCTTTCAAGGAGGGGAACTTATGATGTAGAAGTAATTGCTGCTGTGATTGGCCAAGCGACCATCAGAATGATCTGAAAAGCTCTTCAGGGTGATTGTGATTTTGATTAAGTACAAGGGTGAGGAGGAAGTAATGCATTTGCCTATGTTCCTTGTTTAACAGTTAAAAGAATAGATGGAAATTAAAAGCAGAAGCTGTGGAATCTCTTGGAAGCTAACTTACTACCTTTAAGACATATGGAAATGAGAATCTTAGCTCAAAATTTGAGCAGAAGAGATTTCACCGGTGGCTTTTGGCAGCCCATTCATTGTTCACATTCACTGCTAGTTTAGGTGCTGTGGTAGAAAGACCGACTAGCCCAGATTTTACAGCTATTGCTAGTATTTTCATAACTCCCACTTATCCCTCCCCTTCTGCAGTGCTTTAAAATGACATTGGATATTTACGGTATTGATAGCAAAAAATATAGGCCTGCCTTTTAAATGGCCATCACTTTCTGTTACCGGGCAGCCTTATTATCTGTGATTGAAGAGGGTGAAAAGCATTGGCATGTAAATGAGGTGCTTGGCGAGGTGGCAGACGAAGGGGCTGTGGATTGACATGCACAGCCACCAAGGGGGAGCCAGCGTCAGACACCCTGGCTTGTCGGCTTTGCTTGGAAGGCTCCAAATCAACGACTCATAGAATTATGGAATCATGTAGGTTCTCTTGTAAACTCGCAGGCAAGTCCAGCGCTAAACCATGTCCCTAAGAGCCACATTTACACATCTCTTAAGCACATCTAGGGATGGTGCCTCAACTACTTCCCTGGTGATCCAATGTTTCCCAGCCTGATCCAATGTTTGGCAATCCCTTCAGTGGGAAATGTTTCCAAATATCCAACCTAAACCTCCCCTGGTGCAGCCTGAGGTATTTCCTCTTGTCCTGTCTCTTGCTACTTGGGAAAATGAACTTAGACACTCTTCTCTACAACCTCCTTTCAGGTAGCTGTAGACAGTAATAAGGCCATGATCTGTTTCCCCCCCACAACATCCCCCCAGCCTCTTTTTCTCCAGGCTAAACCACCCCAGCTCCTTCAGGCTCTCCCTATCAGACATTTTTCTCCAGACCTACGATGAGCTTCATTACAAAGGACTTGTTTCTCTTTGGACTCTGGCCACTTCTTTGTCCAAATCTAGGAGATTATTCTAGAAAATTAGAACATCTTTTCTGCCAAATACTCATGTATCTTAAATGTCATTCTTACCTATTTGTAGGAAGAATACTATTTAATCTAATTAAGGATGAGGCTAAGTGCTAATATCTATTTATTTTTAGAGACTGTTAGCTACATTAGAATTTGTCTTTTGTTTGCTTTGTTTACACAGTGTTTTCAGACCTGGCTTTCTAAAGGTTGAGGAGAGTTACTGAGCCTTTGAGCATAAATCTCAGCTGTTCTCTGTGCTGGGCTTTACCAGCTCTGTGGCACCTACTCACAAGGATGCCTTTTTTATCACTTCACCCATATTTACCTTCCAGTTTCCTGGTGCAAACTGGAAAAGAGGGAGCCAGAACTCACTGTGCCTGGATTTCACAATGCTTTCACCCTGCTCTGGATATTAAAGGCAACTGGAAAAAAAGTCTGTTTGGGTTATCAGAGCACAAGTCCACATAAACAACAACTTATCAGATATCTGTATTGTAAAAGAAACACTTGGTGGTACTGAGGAATATCACTAGAGACACATATTTCATGTGCTTTATGACTCATTGTTTTTCAGCTGTCATATTTGAAACAAAACCTTAGGTATTTTGAATAATTTCTTCATCAAAACTGCAAAAGCTTTGGGGAATTCTTTGGTGGAAAATTCTGATGCATGGGTACATTATTTTTTAGGGATAGCTAAATAATATTCTCATACACTGAGGTAACTAGGACTTGCTGGATTATGGCTATGGAGTCCCCTGCAAATCAATCTGAGTACCTCTAGTGTTCTGTTAATTATATCACCACTCATTAGAAAATCAAGGTTGTTCTCCTGTATCACTTGAGGTTGCTGCTGTGTGGCATAGGGAAACCTGAACAAGGTTGCTCAAGACATCTGGATCAGGAACTCCAGTGTCAGTCACTTATGTTTTTGATTATCCCCCTAATCAAGTTTTTCCCAACAGGGAAATACAGACTTTCCAGACTAAGTCCTCTCACTTCTGTTCTGTGGTTTGACACAGCCCCCACCTTATCCAACTGTCATCCCTACATATCCTTGTGTGACTCCTTGTGGATCCTGCTCCTGTACTTCCAGCCTCTCTTGTACCCAGCACTGCCTTCCACTGCCAAAAAATTCTTGTGCCTTCAGCAGCTTTGCACCCTCTTCCCAAAGATCCCTGGTGCAGCATGGTGGGGACATGCAGATTTAGATAACCAGTTCTATGATTTCCTGGGGGCCAGATTAGCTTAGAGTACCCAGTCACTGCAGCACCGGGGCTGCCAGAGTTGGCTCCAAGTTTTCCTGGTCACTGAGCCTCTTGCTTATGCCAAAAATTTTACAAGGAGTCATCATTCCCACAGAAATGTTAGCTCTGAGGGTGTGTTTTGATGTTCTGACTGTCCTGACCAGCCTGAGCATCCCCTGGGCAAATTGCTGCTCCCATGTGGCTGGGGCAGCCGCTGCTCTGGTTTACCAACACTTAGAAAGGAGAAGTGGGGAAAGGGAAGAAAGAAGTGAAGAGAGGAGAAAATCAGCTGCTGCCAAACCCATGTGGTGAAGCATCCTGTGGCCTGACTCGCTCCACCATGCGCACTGCAGCAACATTGTGTGATGAGAATGCTGCAGAGCTGGAGAAGACGGGAACACTGGTGGGCCAGAGGGGAGGGGAAGGGAAACAGGAAACTAAAAATGGAAATTAAGGGAGGGACAAAATCAAGGTGGAAATGTTTCACTGCTACAATCCATGACTTTATTCAATCTTCCTCATAAAAAACACTATCCCATTTTGAGAACTATTTCTGCATCGGGGAATGAATAGCAAGACTGGCACCATGAGGATAAGGGCCAGGGCAGGCAGAGGCAGCTGGGTTCTTGTTAGTGAGTCACTGTTGTATGGGAAAGGCCAGAATTTTGTCTGGGGAAAAAGTTTTCCTTCAGAGTAGGGGGCAAAGAAGAGCTGGCTTTATTGCTGGATCCAGCAAAACATGCAGAGCCAAGAAGAGAGTTAGAGAGAGCAGCATTAATTATTCCACACTTGGTTCTATTACTGCTAGAAATCTCTATGGCACAATTAAA